ATGGATGGATATTTTAACTCAGATTATTTGATCTGCTTGTCTAACACTGAAGATTCTGTATCAGTGAGAAATAACAGACTTTTATCTTTATAGTTCCTGAGATATTGTGGTTCAAACAAAGTCTCAACCTTTAATGCACAGAAAAACCTGTCGCATGTATTTAGTTTATAATAGAAAAGCAAATCTGAGATGGTTGAGCAAAAGAGCCCTGATGATTTGAGATGGAATTCACCATAAGACAGCAAGTTAATAATCAGTTTATAAAGTTGATGTTTTGGAAGCAGGAAAAATGGGGTCCTTCTACACAACTTGGCTGCCAGCTTGATAGCGCACCCAGACAATTACTTTTTGCAAGCAAGACTTTAACCATATGTAAATTAAAGGGGGGTAGAGACATAAACTGAAATTTCAATCACTGGAACACGAAAATGCATGTATAGAATCAATGATTAACTGGAATATAAATCGCTTGAAAAGCAAAAACCAAAATAAGCATTTTTACCCCAGCATACTTCAGTTTCGTGACACTGCACCCGTATCAGTGCAATAACAAAACTGTTTTTCTTTTCTGGTTCAAATGGAAAGATCATGTGTCAAACTACCCCCATCTTTGGCAAAGTTCCCTCATAGAAATCAGAACTCTATAAGTAGCGAGTGTCTATCTTGTAATGTCTCTGCTTTGACATGGATCAAACTGTGAGGCTGGATGACTGAGTCAGAGCATCTCCAGAACAGTAGGCGTTGCTGTGCTTACCAAAAGCGGTCCAAGGAAGGACCCAAGACTCACCGATGTGTGCGGTCTCATCCAAAGAACTATGTTAGGACGCATGGTGCATTGCAGTTTACCTGCAGATGAGATGGCAGCAGGATACACTATGGGAAGCCAGCCGAGGCAATGTGACACTCTGGGAAGGTTCTGTTGGGAAACCTTAGGTCTTGGTGTGCGTGTGGATATTACTTTGCCACATAGCACCTTCCTAAACATAGCTGCAGATCACGTACACCCCTTAATGGAAACAGTATTTCCTGATGGCCGTGGCCTCTTTCAGCTGGATACTGTGTTGGGCCACAATGCAAAAATTGTTCAGAAAGAGTTCAAGGGGTTCGATTTTACCTCCAAAGACCCCAGATCTCTGACCTATCGAGCACTTGTGTTGGAAAAACAACTCTGATCGATGGAGGCTCCATCTCACAACTTCCAGGACTTAAAAGGATCCACTGCCTGATAAGACAGGAAGGACACCTTCAGAGGTTTCATCAATCAGGCCTCAATGAGTCACAGCCGCTTGGAGACAACGTACGCCATATCACGTTTTTGATGTTCTCTGATCAGTTTATAAGCATGTGTCGTTTTTCTATTCTTTTAAAGATGCATTCAGAAAATCTTGTACATCTGATGTTCATTTTTCTAACAGCAAAATAACACACAGAGCTTATTGGAAGGCAGTGACACAATGTGTGCTGTTTATTACTGAATCTGTGACTTACTGTGCAACAGTATAATGTCATATATTAAATGCTTTACACAACCTTTTAAAAAAAATGTGTATGAGAACTATGCAATGCTCTGTCAGTATGAGCTCTTCTTCTAACTCAACCGTTAAAGCTTATAGAAGCAATAAGCCAGCATCGCTGCACGCCAATCCATATTAAATTTTCTCCTTTATCGAGGTTTCTGCATGCAATAGGGTGTGTTGTGTTAAAGACATCCGGACACGCACACACATGAAGACTTGCAACATTGGTTATTACGCACTCGCTCACACATAAACACTCACACATAAATGTAGACGTTTTGCTGAAGGTGTTGAGAGGTTTCCGACATGTGCTCTGAAGTATCAGGCCTTCAGACCCTCAGGGGTTGCTGTGACTGACATTTTCCCAAACAGGTGGAACAAACAGAGTCACAAGACACTTTGGAAACAAAAAAAAAAACAAAAAAAAAACACCCACTTGCTCATTTCACCACAGAGAATGTGAAGGACAATTGAACGACAGGACAATGACGGCAGTGATTCCTGCCCTGCGTCCGATCAGAGCAGGAGGTCCGTGACTGAGGGCAGCAGCTCGGCCAACTCCGACTCCACGTTGAGCGTCTGAGCGACAGGGTTGCCGCGGAGATCAAGGCGCTTCAGCTTGGGGCAGGAGGCCAACGGCTGAAGATCTGCCAGCGTGGAGATTTCTGTGCACTGGGTTAATGAAAAAGCCTTCCTGTGTGCCGCTGGTGACTAACATCGGTAGCAATGAACAACAGGATATCTGACGCACATATTCCCAACACTGGTGTAACAGTAAGAGCGGTTTGTCAAATATGACACCGGGGCATGAATTCCTTCTAAATATAAAACACGGAGCCATCAAACTAATTCCAACTGTCATTACAATAAAAACCTGGATGTAGCCTCACCTGCAAGCCTCATTAATTCTTCTCAAGTGTATCCGGGGAGGTGAAGCATGAAGGGGAAGGAGTCTGTGGCGATGATGTGTTGTTAAGTGTCTCTTCCCATCTTAATGATGCTGTTTGCTCTGTGAAATTGCAGCGCTGTGTTTATTTACTCATTGCTTGAGTTTCAGGTAAAATAAATTATTCATACACTGAGCTGAAGAGTCTCGTTTACCGCTGTGATTTTCTAAATGCTCTAAACACCGCTCTTGTGTGCTGCAGGGCTTTTTACATCACACGCCGTCAGCTGCTGGCAGTCTTCACCACTCTGGGTTGGTGTACCGTGCTCCGCTACTCAGAGTCGCTTCACACATTTCTTGAGTCACGAGAACACCGAAAGGAGTACAGCGATCACAATATAAACCGATCCCTATGACACCGGTGCTGCAGGCGAAACAGAGATCCAGGACAGAATGTTTCGCCAGCAGACTGAATGTCAACCTCTACATTAAGGATACTGTTATTCTTCAAGAGGACTTCTTCCAGTTTGGGAAGGTGGTACACCCCCTCCAGGTTTTCTATTGAGTTGTTATCAGCCTCCAAGACCTGGAAGTGTGAAGAGGTCGTTTAATTGCAGAGGACAAAAAAAAAAAAAAAGTCAATCAATACGTGTCTTTCCTAGTCTATGATTTGAGGCACACACAAAAGAAGACTGTCCATGCAGGAGAGACAATTGGATTTGAATTGCAGCTTTATCACCTCCAGGCACTGCAACATAGCGAACTGAGGAGGCAGCTGTTGCAGCTGATTAGAAGACAGGTTGATATGGGTAACCAATAACAGCTGGTCCAGGTGGCATAAAGTGGTCAGGTTCTGTTAGAAAAGAAACAAAGAAATCGTTTTTAAGCATTTCCCAAACAAGGCTTTCCGGCAAATCAAATGTGATTTCTCGTTGTAATTCCGAGCCGACCTTGTCAGAAATACTGAAGACGCGCACTTCGGCGTACTCCATTTTCAGGATGGTGTTTTCAATCATAAACTTGCTGCACAAGTCACTGTAGTATGCAGAGCGCATGGAATCTACTTCCTGGGAGAGAAAGAGAGAGCATACAGTCAGTGATGTCTGCCTGCACTGTGCAGAAATACATTTTCTATCAGTGCTACAACTGCACTGTACACAGGCTGTACTCACTTTGAGTGTTTGGAAATGAGCGAGTGTCTCCTTTTCATACCCCAGAGGATCCAGTGCCCTCATCAGGAGGATAATGGTCAGTAAGCACCCTGTTGAGGCAAAGAGAACCATCAGTAAATACATGAGAGCATCATGAACAGCAGTAACAAACATCAGTGTCATGTGTTTCTATGGGCCTGACGTTCGCTCTAAGTATGTCAACCAGAGGTGGAAGAAGTACTCTGATCTTGTACATAAGTAAAAGTACTGATACCACATTGAAGGAATACTCTGTTATAAGCAAAAGTCATGCATTTACATTTATACTTCAGTGAGTACAAACGTATTAGCATCAAAAAATACTTGAAGTACCAAAATGACAGAATGGCATGTTTCAGAGAAAAGTATATTACTGTAGTAGAATTGTTTGCAATACTATGTTCATCACTTTTATGTTGAAGCTGGCTGAGGTTGCTTTAACTACTATTGTTTATCTGCTGGTGAATCTGTGAGTCTTCCCTCTAAACATCTTAATCTAAATCTATAATAATACCTCATAATGTATTTGTTGCTAATATTTTGTATTATTAAATTAAATCTGCAATGTAACTAAAGTGATCAAACATTGGGAAGTAAAAAGTACAAGATTTGCCCCTGAGCTGGGGTGAAGTGTAACTATAAAATGGAAGAACACGGATGTACTCCAGGAAAGCACAGGGAACTGAAAATTGTACTGAACTGCACAGTACTTGAGGAAATTTACTTAAATGTACACACCACAGCTGATGTCAGTTCACACCTGGTGTTAGAGTGCGTCTCCACATTCGTCTCATCCTCAAACATTTCTGTTCGCAAAAGCCAAATCAAAACAGCACTAATTCCATCTACTCCTTGCCAGGTTCCAGACAAACTAAATCACACAAGATTATCGAAGCACTTGTACTATTACCTGGGAGCTTTCTGAAATGTTCAGATGTTGTGAACAATAGCCTGCTCAGATGATCTGAGAATAAGTATGTACTCCTGTGTAAACAGAGGACAGCAGCTGAATAGGGAGTCCTTCAGTATGGGCCAGGACTGTTTCACATTCACACTGCTAAAGAAAAGGTGACCCCACGTGACACAAGCTGCCTTTGAATGCTGTCTGAGTGATCACACCACTATTTAAAGCCGTCTACCTTTGATCACATCACCAAGATGCCGTCAGTAGTAGGTGTAAGCTGGGTCTCTATGAAGTCGCCGATATGATTCTGTAATATGATGAATTTAAAAGCACTTACATTTATTGAGTGGCTCCAGTTCTTGTAGCTGGTTGACTGATTGCAGCTCCGACTGTAACACTGAGGTCTTCTCTACCGACAGTTCACTCCTACAGAGAAAGAGCACACTTACTTCTTATTCCTGGAAAACAAAAACTACACATTGTGTTGCCAATGTGCCAAAACAATACCTGAAAAGTTCCTGATCGGTAGCAGAGTCCCGACACCAGCTCTCAGCTCGACCTTTAAGAGTCAGAAGTTTACAGTGTAACACAGCTTGAGGAAATAAACATTCAAAATTCATAATTCAGCCTCGAATGGAGCACGAAGAGAAGATATTTATCACCTGTGTACAGAGCACAGTCCCTGTGAGTGTGTTTTTCTGTCCAGTGCACAGTCAGATTGTGTTCATTAGAGATGTCGTTTATCGTTCCAGGAGGGAGATCGCAGATCTGAGCCGCCGTTAAGGTTAGAAAGAGACCAAACTTGAATTATTTATTCCAAGTGAAAAGGAAGTGTTTGATTTGAGTATAAATTAGCCACCTTAATAGAAACCTGCGCAGGCCCACAGTGTGAGTGCGCATATTAACGTCATGGCTCATTTCCAGAACCAATAAAGTTGAGATGGGCAGTATGACTAAAATATAACATCCTCATTTAGACAAGTTAGGCTTTAATGATTTCATTTAGATTTGCAAGGACAAATCAAGTACTTAATCACATTAAGAATGTTTAATTGTGTTTTAGACTAAATCAGCAGCTGTTAAAGGAGAGAAAAAGCTTAAAAGTATGAATAAAGTTTAAGGCAGACTGCAGATTTTCTGAGTGACTGCGCATGTATTATCCAAATGTATTATATGCTTGAAAGCTCAGGAAAAGTGGACTGTGAGTTATTTTAAGACCAAATCATTGTGTTTCTCTACATTATCTACATTTTTGATGGAAACAACCACCCTTTGCAAGCTCCAACAAAAAGCAGCCCTTCTAGAGCTGTGGAGGATCCAAAGCCCTTCCAAAGGACACCTCCGGATTCTTCCCAAAACCTTCTCCTTCAGCTGCCTCACCAAACTTGGTGTCCTGTGTCACTGTGCCCGAACAAGGTGAAACAAAACAGCCCAAACACACTTGTGTGGGATGAGCTACAAACATTCCTCTGCAGTAAACTGACAAAAGTTTTATGATGAAACAATTTTCTCTTTCTCTTGATGCACATACCGCAGCGTCTTATCAGCATGTGGTATGTGAAGAATGACACGAACAGAATGTTAAGGCAGTATCCTGCTCAATCAGCAGTACATGGCGACAGTCACGATTAATCTCTGTGGGGGTAACTTGCTAGTTTTGAGTCATAAAGGAAAAGGATACCCAGACAGGGCTGTGTTTAAAGCGCGGGTGGACACTCCTCCACTCCACTCTCTGGGGCTGACCGTCGAGGACCAGCAGCAGGCCGACCGACTGCGCCTGACAGGACAAGGGCAGGGAGGAAGCTTGTTAAGTCGACACTGTTTTTTTGCACAACTGGTAACAAACGTTTTCCAAACCTGAATTCCCTTTTTAAAAATATTTCACGCGGTTGAAACAGCAGCAGTGATGACCACACCAAATCTCTGTATTCAAAGCCCATTTCACACAGAAATAAATAAAAACTACCATAAATACAGATTAATCCACATTCATAACCTAACACATCATAACATCACTACAAATTAGACCGCAATCTGCAGTTTATATCGGCGGCGCAATCAATGCCATAAACAAATACAATGCAACTATCATCATTTAAAAAATGTTTTAAACAGAAAACACTTTTTGTTTTTTTGTTGTTAGTATTTTTTGTGTTCTGATGGATCCATTTTTCTTGCTAGGAGCCAAACATTACATGAACTACTACTAGAGCCAATCTAGAGATGTCATTCTTTCATTAAAGCACTTTGTTTCTGAGATTAACTGCTAAACTTTGACAAGCCGTGTGAAAATGTGTGACCAATTATTCAAAAAATAAAAAATTAAAAGATTAAAACATAGGAAAGCTTTACTTTAATAAGGACAAGTAAAGATACTGACATTGACAGGTCTGGAGAAAGCAACAGCCACTCTCTCCTCATCCCGACTGACATACACGCAGCTTATCATCTCTTCACGCTCCGCTGTTAAAAAGACAAAAAACTTGGACTCATGTTTGACAAGTGACAGAGCAGAGCAAATATTTGCAAGCACAGAAATAGTGGAAGGTACCTTCATACATATTTAAACACAGACACAATTACAGATAGGCGTACCTCTGCCTAATAACCAGCGATAGTAGAACCAGGCGCTCTGGTCGTTGGGATCAGTGAAGAAAGCATTTTGTACAAGCTCATATTCTGAAAGAAATGAATACAGTTTGATGCTAAATGTGCTGAATTAAACTTAAAACATCGACTGCAAAGTACAACTATTTATAGGGATTGCAAAGACTGAGGCTGCCCCCTATCTGTTGCCGTTGGGCGTTGCTGACTGCAGAGTTTACCTTTGAGTAGCTGCTCTTCACAGACACGGTGGGAGTGGGTTTGAGGAGATGGTGGAGGGGAGGTCTGGGGAGGCTCGCGGCACGGTGAGGGCGGCTCGGGTGACTCCGGGTGGAGCAGAGGCAGTAGGGTGCTGCGGTAGTGCCAGCTGGAGTAGTTGGAAAAGTTGGAGCCAATGAGACGATCGGTAAATGCCAACTCCTGATCCACGGGAACGCCAGACATCTTGACAACCATTCGGCGATAATCCCAGCAATGGACTGGTCAAGATGAGAGAAAATGATGAGAAATGTGTAGAAACACTGCAGGTGTGGATAAATTACAACAACTGCTGAATCATTCACATTTTCAACCAGATTCTTCCCTTTTCTACTCACAGTTGCGGTCGTCCAGGCTTAAACAACGGTCACACAGGCTCAGCTCTCGGGCCCAGTCCGGTCGAGGCAAGCGGGCTGAGACCCAGCCTCGGTGGTGCCAGCTGCCATAAGACTTCGGGTTCACCTTCAGGCAAGACTCCAGAAACGACAGCTCGGCCTCGTAAATCTTCTGCACTTCATCCTCATCTCTGGAGGAGACATCGAGAGGCAAAATCATCACTCTTCTGGCACTTCCTACATGATTTACCATTCAAAAAAAATGGGCTCCACTGTTAAATTATGAACGGAAAATTACTGCAAATGATCTCACTTCACAGTTTCCAGGTGCATGAGGATTTCTCTTCTGTAGTTCCAGAGGGTTGCAAAGTCAGGATTGGAGGATAGGAGCTGCTGGGTCAGCTGGAGAGCCTCGTCATCCCAAACACCCTCATTCCTCTGTCATAGAATAAGAAAGTCACGAGGGTTAGGCACATACACTAAGTGACAGGCAGCCAAACAGAACGTGAGAATGACATCAAAGAAATTAGTAAGCATGTAAACATTTAAGCACTGAACATAACAATTGGTTTAAATACTATACAATATTTATCATATAGATTTAAAAGATGGCAGTTTAAAGGTTGAGGCTAATGTTTTCTGTATTTCTGCAATGGTAAACAATACCCATGAAAAGAACAAAAACAATGACGTGTTAGTCTGAGGGCTGAACGATTTTGGGAAAATATCTAAATGTGACTACTCGGATTTGATTTGCAACGTCATTTCTAAAAGTCAAGCTTAAGCTCAATATTCACTGTGACTGAAAACATATGATGAAACATTACCACACGAGACACAATCCATTTACTCAGCAGTTTACGCTGCATAACAAATCTTGAATTGCAGCCTTTGCGATTTGCTAATTGCATTATTCTCAACATTTAATTCTTCAGCAATAGTTTGTGCAACCCTCAGCGTTTTTTTTAACTCCTCCACACCATCTGTGGCACTCAGCCCGGAGCCCATTTGGTCCTCCTCACCATAAAAAAGGAACAAATGTCCTAAAACAACTGAATTGGGGGTTTTTTGTTGTTGTTTCTTTTTAGCAAAAAATCCTGCACTATTTTCAGCTGCAGGTTACTGTGATACATAATTGTAAAGGTCTGACTCGAAATAAACTACAGTACCTATATTTAATGTCAATAGCGTGGTGTTGAGCTGTATCAGGTTCTGGCTACAAAAGTACAAGAAGAATTAAACACTGGTTTTGCTCTTTTCATTGAATTTGGTAAAAACATATAGTACAATGTAGTTCTCCAAATGACCTTAGAAAAACAAGCATCGCGTGCAGCCACATATATCTTCAGCTTCTTCTCACGCTCCTTCCTTTTCTCCTCTTCCTGCTGGGCTGTAGATTTAATCTTCACTCGACCATGCTGACAAAAACATATACAGGGAAGGTAAGGTAGGTACAATGTACTCTGCTGCCCAAAAGTTAGGGGAAAATAAATGACACAAGTGCACAGTGAAAGTGCCCATATTTCCTAGGAAAATTAGTAAATAATAAATGTCTTACCATCTTTTCTTATTTTGAAGGAGACCTCTTCAAAAACCTGTTTGTTTTGGCACATGGGGGGGAGGTGACAGTGGTGTTAGGCCTGAAGAACGTTTACATGGCACACAAGCACAGACAGCTGACAGGCTAACACAAAAGTTGTTATAAGTCATTATTATGAGCACTCTGTGTAGAAATATCCAGTCCTGAGAAACGCTAAAACACGAAATACAAACAGCTTCGAGACTGAAGTTAGCTCGAAATGAACTGAGTGTCAGGTTAGCTTGCTAATTAGCTCCGTTGTCAGTAAACAGCACAGGGCTGGGCTCATTCACAGTTCATTGAATGCAGCTCAGATGAACAGAAACCAGCGGCACAAGACGTATTTTCATTACGGCTGCACACTAAACCCCAAGTTGCTAATTATATAAAACACCCACCTGCTTTATTTGTTGGCTTGCCTGCTGTTTTTCAGAATGCAGTTTGATTTGTCATGTCACTATCAGGGTTTATAACGACTACAATTTTTCTTCCGTCTCATGAAAATGACGTCACTGAGAGTGTGTTGTCAGTGTCGCGGTGGTTTGTCGCTCTCTAGTGGAGAAAACTGTAAACAGCAGCGATGCAGTGTTTGGAGATACATGCAGGGTTTGAACCGGGATTTGCATAATAGGTTGTATTTATATATTCTTTGAGAAGAAACTTTAAATTTAAAAAGAGTGCTGATTGGTGTATTACAGTAAATGCTGGCAAGTAGAGATATTTTTAAAAAAAAATAGATTAAAAAAGTATGAATAAAAGTATAAATACTTTAAGTATAATAACAATAATGATTATTATCATTATCAGTAGCAGTAGTAGTAGTAGTAGTAGCAGTAGCAATACTACTAATAGTAATATATTATGATGATGACAATGATGATTTATATTAATAGTTTTACAGCTGTTGTTGTCAAGGCTCACACATGTGGTGGAGAATTTTTCTGACGAACACATTCCCTGAATTATTGTAAAACGTTCTACCCTGAAGACAAAAGGAACATGATCTTTAGTTGACTTGTAGGTTTATTGAACACTGTGCAGAGAGCAGGCCACAAACAAACCGAGCTAGTGCTGAGAGCAGCTAATTATTGTCACAGAAAGCATTAACTTAAATATATTTTAACCCCATCCAATGTTCATTATAGGCCCATTGCTGTATTTTCTGATCCACTGATTCTCTCCTCATGTTCACATTTACACCAAAACCTTGTACAACCTCTGTTCAGTCCTTCTTCTGTCCTGAACATTTGGCCTTAATGTCTTCTGAGTAGGTACAATGATGCACAATGGGGCTTACAAAACCATCTTATCAAAGTTGTCCTGGACAGTTCTCACATGGACCGTCCTCAAACATGATCACTTTCAACCTTCTGATTATTTACCATTGTTACATTTAGCTTATGTGATTATGTATGTATGCCCTCATGCACATCAAATGTGTAAAAACTTGCTTCAAATGTTCTAAACACTTGATTATATATTTATTGACACGACTCAGGCTGCAGACAGTAGAAATAGGGTTGATTTCTTCAATCAAAACGAGTTCCAGTGAACATTATTGTGTCCTGCTGATATGGATTGTCCAGAGTAACACAGAAATTGTTTCTGTAATGAGGTGTCACAGCTGCATTTTGTGAATGTTATTTTTCTTGAAACTAAAAGCTAAACTCAAATCACCTCCACGCTGTTGGAGAAATTTCAGTCAGATGCCTCAAACTAAGTCCATTATTTTGTGTTACAAAACACAAGCAATGACAGCAGTCAGACAACTTATTGACAATGTTGCAGAAAGAAGGTCTGAGTTTAAACTGTCCAATTTCTTCCAGGCAGCTTGTGCAATAAGTGAACTGTCAAAACTGAGATGCTCATCATGTTGAAGAATGGAAAATATATTGGGAAACTTGCTATACACTCTAAAGATTTTAAAGTTTATGTCTTTGCCACTTTAATGATGAAGTCGACCAAGAAGCAAAGTTATTCCAATGTCATCACTCAGATTCATCATTTTTGCAAATACAGTCTACAGCCGTCATTTGTCTCTGGTATAATTTAACTTCTGGTGTAATTATCTCATATTCAAATGAATATTGATATTTTAAAAATGCAGCTCTCACAAAAACAGATATTTCCACAACAGGTTGTCTTTATACATCCATCCAAATATCCATCCATCCATCCATCCATTATCTATACACTGCCTAATTCTCACTGGGGTCGTGGGGGGGCTGGAGTCTATCCCTAATCACAATACTTGTTGCTTATTACTTGCTTATTACGGTAAATTGTAAAGCAGGCCTTATTTTTCTAGCTGTTGCTTTAAATGTATAAATGATGACTTGACAAAGCAGACAGATGCCACTCACGTTACAAAGTTTATTTCTCCTCATCTCCACAAGGAGGCAACTATTAGTGATTCAATGTATTTATGGCAGCACCTCCCACCTTCTCAACCTGGACTTCCTCCTCTTTGTCTGCAGACACCTTCACCTCCAGTGAGAGTTTGTAGGTGTTTGCTATGTGCCTTTTGAAAAACATTCAATGTAAGTTATGGTTTTGTTCTGATCCAGTCTTTTTTTTCTTAAATATTATTATTACAAGCTATGTGTTTGGCTAATTACATGTAGTTATGGCACCTTCATTTGAAAATACTCAGCGTGATTTAAAGGCTGATTTCTTTTGGCACGATATTAAAATGTGTTTCTTTATATTTTGAACCACGGCAAACATCAAAACAAGCCATCATGGCATTTAACGTTGTCATTTTTAAATAAATAAACTGGACAGTTGAGAACAACTCTCATTCCTAGTTGTTTCCTAGTGTTTCATGGTTCCACTCGGTTCCACGAAGATTCTTCTTCTTGTTGGATGTCATTTTTGCACTTTCTGGTCCATTTCATAATTTGACTGATGCAACATCCATCCATTATCTATACACCACTTAATCCTCACCAGGGTCACGGGGGGCTGGAGTGTATCCCAGCTGACTTAGGGCAAAGGCAGAGGATACCCTGGACAGGTCACCACAGAGAGACAGACAACCAAGCACACTCACATTCACACCTACGGACAATTTAGAATCACCAATTAACCTCAACATATTTTTGGACTTTGGGAAGAAGCTGGAGAACCTGAAGAGAGCATGCAAACTCCACATAGAAAGATCCCAGTGCTGGGATGCGAACCGGCGACCTTCTTGCTGCGAGGCAACAATGCTACCAACTGCGCCACCTTGCAGCCCCTGATGCAACATTTTAAATAAAATGAAAGAAGAAGAAAAATGTTAACCTCCATGTAAAGGACAATAACAGAGTATCCCAGTTACACAGTTGTATACTCAAGTATGCGTCAGTGTCAGACCACTTTATAGAAAATGTCTTTTATTATTTTGATGAATATTTGCATTTAATTGATGGTTCAGGAAACACTGACATCCCCGTCATAAACAAAAACACACCAGTCGTTGCACTGATCCAACTAAACTGTCTCCAGTGAGCATAATAAACTGTTTTCAACAGCAGTCTGTGGCTTTTTATTTTTTTTTACATCAGTGAATAGATAAGTTCCATTTTTGCAGTGATACCACTACTGTAAATATTATTAAATTTAAGCAGCAAAACGGAAAAGTCTCTGTGATAATCCTCTTTATTCACCAGGGGAAAAAAAGGGAGAAAAAAAGCTTCCCTTGAGGAAACCTGCCTACATTTGAGCTTTAGCTGAGACTAAAATGTATCTACAGTCCTGCAGGATTCATCCTTAAAACAGTCGCGTTGTTCCCAGTGACTTCACTGCAGAGACTGCAGATGTGTGCACAACAGCACAGTAAAAGCGTGCATGTTAGTAAAGCTGCGTATGATCAGTATGACACATCAGAAGTGGAAACAATTTATCAAGTTGCTGCTGCTTTACCACCTGCGTGTGCACAGCTCCTCCCTCAGTTTGAAGGCAGTATGAATCGTGCTGCCGTGTGATGCTACAGCTGTTTAACAAAGCCAAAGAAAAGACAGCATGACATTCTGCGTTTGTTTGTTCAGCGCGCAACAGAATCTGAAAGCAGATTTTGAGAGTTATGTAATTTAAACTGCTATAAATGAATCAACAAAATAAGCATATTGTAAAATCAAGTAAGCCCATGAGTGTATTAAGAAGCAAACTACACACATAAATGAGGCTAAAACAGCATAAAATAACATAACGCACCAGTGAGGAGCATTTAGACAAGAAATCAAAGCTGCTCAGTAAATCAAGTAAAGGCTGGAAAGGTTCTCTGATAAAAGTATGTCTTAAAAGGAGAGTTTAAAGGAGGTCACTGATGCTGCTTCCTCACCTTTGTGGCTCTTGCATGACAATATGCCTCAGAAATCTGGTGCTAATTTGTGTGGAGTCTCTGACTTAAACATGGATAGCAAATAGAAATGATCACTGACACTCTTTACTGCAGAGCCTGTGGATTAATGCTGCATCATGTCTGAGATTCAGCTTTTCAAATGCAAATGTTCATTTCTATACCCAGTAAGTGTGGAAAAAAAAAAAAAAGCTTTAATGTGTTTTGGAGATAAAGTTGTTCCAAATACATGAACATGTTCCTCGACCTGCACTTGGAAACAGATGATTTATATACAGTATAAACTGATGTGTAAAAGGAGGAAATAGTTTCAGGTTGTTTTAGAGAGAGGGCATAAATCTGTCTTCTTAACTTTAGGGCTTCTTCTGACAAATGACAGACACAGATAACAAAATAAATGTGTTATCTAAAAAAAAAAAAAAAAGCATTTAAAGTCAAGACTAAGGAACGACGTTTCACATCACAACCTTCAAGTGCTTCTTTTTTTATTGAGAATTTAAATGTCATTTGTGCAAAGAGAAAGTACAAAATGATAAAACTGAATAGGAAACCATCGTGACAAAACCTTTTTTTAAATTATTGTTTTAACAGAAGAACAATAAGAAGCAGAAACTGTCTAATAGGTTACACAACATGCAGGATATTTCATTTTCGATGTATAGAGCCACGGTTATTTTTCCACCCCTGAGCCTGACTCTGTGCTTCATTTGCTTATTAATTTAGTCAGGTGTAGTGAGTTTTTTTTTTCACTGTGGGAAACTTCAAGTGCACTCTGGCATTAAATTGCAAAGATTCAATCTTTCCTTTTGAACATAGAAAAAAAAAATTACATTAAGTGATAAATTTTTTTCATCTCAGCGGGGAAATTCTGTGGTTTCTGTGTGAATACAAATCCAATGAGACAGTTTCCAGACTGTCTTCCGTTCACTGTGAAGTTCTTTTTCTAGCAAATGAAGTAAAACGGAATCATAATGAAATAGTTAGCAGGTCAGATTGGCAAATCTTTATTCCATCAAAACAGATGATTACAATAAACATTATGTTTGGTACATTATAAAGACAATATATGTCTGACCTGTTTAATGTACATATTTTACAGTATTACATTATACATAGACTTTTTCCAATTGAAAATGATCAGAGGGAACTTTTTAAAACTGTGAAGTCATGGATATTACTAAACTAAAACGGAATGAGACATTTGGTACAGTTTCATGATAGGAATGTTATATTTAGGCTCACTTTACAACCTTCTAACATTATACCACATCCCACAACATCACCACCAAACTGAATCAACAAATGTTTAACACAGTAAGTAAATGTACAAAAAAAAATACAACTTTTTACACTTAATAAATACAAAGTCTATCCATCATTCTAGATCTTAACTTATTTCCCAGGAACGTGGAGTCAGTTAGTCAATGTTATGTTAATATTATGTTAATGTAATACCTTTTATCACTTTAATGACATCAATCCGTCAGAATAAGACACCAAGAACCATTTCATCCTGATTTAGTGCTCAGAGAAAAACTTCATATAGTGTCTCACATGAAGGTGTCCTCTGCTCTGTTAGAATTATTACGAGAAAAATGTTCAATTAATTGAAAGCTCTCAGTTCTGAGTAACTCTCTACCCAAAGGTTGCTAGTGTTCAGACACTTATCTGAAAATGTTTGGTCAAGCTTTTGTCAAGATGTTTTTTCACATGTAGGTTGCCAAGTTTAAATAATGTTACTTTCTTCCACAGCAGCAAGGGGTTGTTGATGTACTTTTTTTTTTTTAATTCTGGAAATAAATGTCAACTGCAAAAAGAGTGGATAACTTTCAAGAATCATGAAGTCAAGATGTCTGTGTTGATTCTAAGTCATCCAGATCATTGGTAATCCAAGGCACTTCAGTACAAAGCAACTGAATTTCTTTCTTTTAAGTTCTTGGAGATGTTTCACCTCCTCATCCAGGAGGCTTCTTCAGTCCAAGTTGGCATTTATCTCCATAACACTTGCAAAAAAAAAGTAGCCAAGCAACTCCTTGATGCTGTAACAGAAGGCAACCTAATGTAAATGTTTTAATCTGGTTTTCATCAACCCCAAGCGGCAACTTATGGGGCTAAAAAAAAAAAATCAAGCCAGCATGAAAGTGCCACACGTTGCAGTTCCTCAAATGGCCACTTGAGGCTGGCTTGAAAAGTGAGTCAACCCCATAGACTCTAACGTTAGGCCATGTTTACACATCGCCGGGTATTTACAAAAACGGATCCACATTTCAAACATAACATTGTTCACACCAGATACTTTTCAAAAAATCTTCATTTCCACAAACCCGCATACACACGTCGTTAAGAGCTGCTATGAGCATGCCAAACCCATAGAAGGCAGTGCAATGAGAAGCATAAAGCCATGCTAGCCAATCAGAATCCTGGATTACTTCCTGTTACTTCAACGATAATGGCGCGAGGGTTGCTTGTTTGGACCGACAGAGAAGTGGAGCTACTCCTAAATGTGGTGTTAGAGTACAAAACAAGTAAAATCCATCCATTTCTATCACAGTAGCCAAACTGTAAACATGGGTCGCACACATTTGACGCTGATAACACTTTTGTCGCATACTGTGACATCAAACTCCGTCTCCTCCCGTCTACATGCAAACGTAAAGACGGAGTTTTTCCAAATCTCCACTTTGGCCAGAGTTTTCAGGTATGATCACTTTTGGTGACTTGAAGCTTTGTTTACGTGTAAACCAAAGGCCTGAACGCACTGAAATATCACCGTTTTTGCTACATGTAAATGGGACCTTAAAATATCACCATTCGGGGGCTTAAAATGTCCAACTTTACAGCAAAAATAAACATGTTGACAGCCTGGTACAAAAAACTGTTTTGGTCTCTATGGCCAAGTCTGCCATTCAGGACAACTATACAGGTGGTGAATTTCTATATACCTCACTCGTTGGAATTGCATTAACTTTTAAAGTTATGCATAATTAAGCATGTGTCCGCTTTGAATGGCAGTTTGGTGCCATCACAGGACAGCTAATGACCCAGAGATGGTCGCGTGGCTCGCCCCAGCTCTACTCGTGCTTCCCTTCTTTGCTCATTTTTGGATAAGTCAGGAGTTAGAAAAAGTCAGGCACTGGTTATGTACCACACCGAGCTTCACAACTGTTAGTCAGGAAACGTTTGGATAGTGTCACAGAGGGTTCTTCTATCTTTACGAACAGTCTATGGTTTGGTCACTGAGTTAGACTATTTGTGTCACCATTAACAACGACGTCTCTTCATTTTTGGGACTAATTTCATTTTTTTTCTGTGCGCCCATTGAGTCACATATTTCAAAGACCTGTGATTTCCTCAATCTGTCATTCGCACAGAACTTCATGTCCCAATTAACCCCACCGAGTGCTCAGTAGATGTGTGAAATTGGATGTCCAAAAATACCCTTCTTTTGAACTCAACTGATACTGAGTGACTGCCTCCAGAAATATTAAGACTCAACCACTGCATCTAACAGTTACCTGCCTGAATACATGAAAGGCTGCTGTCTCCTTTGATTTTTACTTAAACTTTAAGCAACACGTTGCAGAACTTGTACAAACAACTTCTTTTTTTTTTTTTTATCAACTAAGCAACACCAGCAGAGTATGACCTGTTTTCAATTTTGAAGACAGAGATGATTTTGCATGCTTTCCCCCTCCTCCTCATGTCTGGACTGCTAAACAGGGTTTTTGGAGGACAGAACCCAGCTGCCAGGCTTTTAACCAGAATAAACAGGTTGGAAAAACTTTACCCAGCTTTGGCCTCTTTACAGTGGCTTCCAGTATGTTTTAGTATTAATATTTAAATGCCTTTACAGCGCTACATGGTCTAACTCCTTTAAGCTTGTTTTTTATGGCTCACCTGATAATTCCATATGTTCATTTTATAGTTTCAATGTATTCAGTATTAAGCTTCAGTGTAGGCAACAGTAAAAATAAAGAAAAACCTTACATCAATAAGCCACCCTCTTCCAAAGGGTGGCAGAGCTTTCAGAATTAGAACCCTCAGGCACTCAGCCCGGGGATATACGGCAGGTTGAGTCCGTAGAGTCTTTTAAATGTAAGCATGAGACGTACTTTTATCCATGATTTCACTTGATTTTGTTTCATGGATCTCCATCCAGCCATCCATTCTTTTTTCTATACACCACCTAATCCTCACCAGCGTCGCCAATCCCAGCTGACTCAGGGTGGACTCAGGCAGGGAACACCTTGGACAGCTAACCAGTCTGTTTCAGTCTCAGAATGACAACCAAGCACACTCACATTTACACCACTACTTTAGAATCACCAGACAACCTCAACATGTTTTTGGACTGTGTGGGAGGAAGCCGGAGAACCCGGAGAGAACCCACGCTGCACGGTAAGAACATGCAAACTCCACTCAGAAAGATCCCAGGTGTCCTCTATAGGACGTGAACCAGCGACCTTCTACCTGCGAGGCGACAGTGCTAACCACCGCCCTTTTATGGATATTTCTAATTTTAGTTATTGTCCATTGGCTTGCCAGATAGAACAAAACTGTTGTTTACGATTAAGACTTTTCATTCAGCAATACCCACGTAGTTGTCAAAGTCAAAGACAGATCTGTATCCTGACGTCTCAGAGAAGTTCAGGGTCAGCTGGTTCTCCATATTCGTGTCGATCTTAAGCGTGGACAGCCAACTGAGAACTCTGTCAAAGTTGTTGGATGGTCTTCTTCTGTCTGACAAAGACCCGGCGATAGACGGAGCTGGACTGCTGTTCCCTTTGACTGAAAATGAAAAACAATAAGAAGAAATTTGATGTGCTTTTGCTCAGCAGTAATGTGAAGGGTCATTTCATCTCAAATCATCAGATCTGTAGCACGATTTCTTCCATTTTCCAGAAGTCTTTATACCAGGGGGGGAAAAAAGATATTTATAAAGATATCTGTGTAATTTTAGCTTCATATATCAAAAACTTTCTCAGATGATATTTATTTTTTAATGAAACACTTTCAGCCTGTTTTTCTTTGCACATTGAAATTTGAATACATGTTTGAACGACAATATCTGAGGAACTATTAAAGACAAAAGCCTGAAAGTCGTTGTTCATCATGTCATCGATTCACAGTCTACATTACACGACATCTACATACGTATTGGACAAGTAGATCAAATTGATTGTGGGTGAGTTCAAATATTTGAAAAAAAAATGAAGCCATGGTGAAAACTCCCATCTTTGAGCATGAACTAACAAAAAAAGGATGATGCAAAAGGCAACAAGTGATATTTTCTGAACCACATGTAGCTGCATGTCACAATAAAAAATGAAATATTCAATCACCAAATTGAAAAAAATATATACTTTCGTTGTACTTTGGTAACTGATTGAGCTCGTAAGACAAGTTGTACCACCAAAACCTCGATCATTTGAGATGGAATTACCCAATTATAATACAATTTATACTTACAGGAAGGAAGTATAAAGTCCTGGCTGCTCCGAAGTTGATCTGCGGCTCTCATTATGTCCTTATTGAGCTTGTCGATCTCCGCGCTGATCTTTGCGTCTACTTTGTCCTCCTTTTCATCTTTCTTCTTCTGACCGATTCCCTTGACTTTGATTTTGTTCATGTCAACTATCAATGATAATCAAAACACATGATTAAAATGTGTGTGTAGATTCTCAGCCATTCAGATCATGGAAATCAAAGAGCTTAAAGCAACTGGACTTCTCGTTTAGGTTCTTGAATCTATGAGAATTCCAGTTGCTTTATATTGAAGCTCCCAGGATTAACTTGATCAAAACAATAGTCTGTTTACTGTATATTATGACAAAGAAAGACTCTCTTGCAGACCTGCTGCTGTGTGATACTCACTCAGTGACTTGTGTTTATTGCTCGCCACGCTTTCCCGGATGTCAGCTTGCAGCTCGATGAGTTTTTCCCTGAAGCCGATCATCAGCTCCAGCTCCCTCCTCCTGTACTCCTGCTCCAGCCGCTGCTTCAGCACATGTTTCAGCTCCCTCCTCTTGAACTTCTCATCGATGTTCAGGTGGACGTCCTTCATGTCGGGGCAGAAGAGCCGCCCGCTGTTTCCCGCCACCATTTCCTCAATCTTCTCAAACAGCTCCGTGACCTGAGTCATGTCAGCTTTCTTCAAGTTGTTGATGGCGTGGTACTTGTTCTCGCACTTGTCCACCAGCCAGCGGAGAGTGCGGTGCTCCCTCTCGATATGCTCCTCTACAGATTGATCTGCGAGGTTGTCTCTGTGCGTGAACAGAACCATTGTGTGTTTCCAGACACTGTCATCAAACAGGTTCATGTGTTCCTCCAGGGCGACCAGGTGAGCTTCTCTGAACTTCAGGTCCAAGGGGACCACCAAGAGAACAGCATGAACCCCCGACTGGCTCAGTGCCAGACCTCGGACGATTTCTTTGTCCACGTCTTCGGTGCAGCGAGAGGAATCCCTCCACCAGCCCGGGGTGTCGATCACCGTGACCAGTCGATCGGCAACTTCTTCCTCGTCCACATGACAGCGCTCGTTCTGACAGGAGGCGAACGCTTGTTTACGCAGGAGGGTGTTTCCTGCTGCACTCTTTCCGGATGTCTTCTGACCGAGCATCACAATCTTCAGCTCCTGCAGCTTATTAGTGGAGTCTGAGCAGAAAAACAAAACTGTCAGCGCAGGATGAAAGAGAAAGCTCACAGACTGCACACGTAATACTGTAAAAGAAAGGAAATGGTCAAAGTCTGCCAGCCAGGGTGTAAAAGAATAAATTCCTATTGGTAAAAATCTAGACTTTTGATTTGAACATTAGGTACAATTTAGACCAGTTTTTCCTAACAGTCAACATTTATAAAAAACTCTTTTCTCTGAATTCACTGAATGTCATCTATAATTTAACAAAGTAGAGCGGAAATAAGAGTCAAATAAAATAAAAAAGTTTAACAAATTCTTAACAATTTTTAATAGTTAATATGTAGAATTTATGCTAAACATCTGTAAATTGATCATATTTTTTCTAATTTAAATACAAAAAAGTGTAATTTTACAGTCAAACATTGTAAAACAAGAAATTATCATCTGTACAGTTATTGCTTTCTGATGTGTTATTTACAGTTTTGGCCTGTTTTTTGTTTGTTTGTTTGTTTACTGCAGTCAATTGTAAATTATTTCTGATATTTATTTTACTAGTTATTGTCTGTAATTTAACAAAATGAGGAAAATCCATCTAAAATGCAGTTAAAAACGGTTGAATTCTGTTTTTTACAGTGTATTAAGCAGGGGGTTGATATTGATCTGTTTTTGTGCCTCGGCCTGTAAGTCATGCTGTCGAGCCATAAGAGAGCTGTACATGTCTGGTACAGACTGCAGCAAAACCTACATCATCATTTTTTTATTTTTATCAGTGGAAAAGAAACGGAAAGAAAATGACCATTTGCACTAAAATCGGTACTCATATTAGAATAACACTATTTGTCAAAATGATTGCAAAATTATTTCTTTTCTTTCACCCCTGCTATGCTCGATCAAATTGGTATGTGGGGGGCATCTGGAGGCCTGGTCAGTGCCTTGGGCTCTTTGTCATGTTCCTCAAGGTGTCTATGAGCAGTTATTGTCATGTGACAGGTGCATCGTCCTGCTGGAGGAGGCTCTCCTCAAGGGTTTTTACATTGCAATGAGATAATCAGTGTTATCCATTTAATCTGTCTGGCTTTAATCGTAATCACGTACCCTCCGCTCCGAAAATTCCAACCTCTTGATCGTTCCCAGGACCAAGCACCGAATCTGGGGGGATAGGGCCTTTTCTGTCACCGCCCCCACCCTCTGGAACTCTCTCCCACAACCTATTCGAGACACCTCAGACCCAGCAATATTCAAATCTAAATTAAAAACTCATCTGTTCCGCTCTGCTTTTCCCACCTAGGCCTAGGCTTTATCTCGATATTTACTGTTGATTTTTTTTTCTGCTTGCTGTATTTCTATATTGTCTACCTTTGTCTGTGTTGCTTATTGTTTATTGCTTTTATTGCTTTTTTGCTTTTATCCTGTGAAGCGTCTTTGAGTTCTTGAAAAGCGCTATACAAATAAAATGAATTATTATTATTATTATTATTATTACTATTAATGCTGTAACTGAGCATTATTGAATAGGCCAGTATGTAGCTCATGTGGCCGACGACACTGAAGTGGAGTAATTACTTAATAACCCTACAGACTATCATACTCTGACAGTCTCAACACTACGAGCTTCACCGGACTGTTATTCACTGCTACTCTGTTGTAATGAATTGTATTTATGTAATTTTGTTCGCCCCTGATGTCTGTTCACTCTGAGAGTGTGGAAACAGCTCTGACAATGCCAGGCTAATTTACTGGTGACACTAATGCTAGATGACTCTGAAGCAAACCTCTGAGGGACGTCCTTCTGGCCTGAATTTCACTTTGCCTCAGCCTCGCTCCTTCTTCCACTCGCCTTCTTCTCTCCTCAATGGTCATGAATATCTGCTTGTCTGGAACAAAAGAGTCCCAACCGTTTCCAGCCACTGTGCCGATGATTGTCTCCAGCAGCTCTGTGACTTGTGTACCATCATTTGCGTCCTTGTTATTAAAGACGTGGTATCTGTTTCCACATTGTTCAACCAGACTCTGCAGGGCCTCCCCCTCGCCCTCAATGTACTCTTCTATGGTGTTTGTTCCCAGCCAGTCTCCTCTGGTGAAAACTATGACTGTGTGTTCCCAAACTCCTTCTCCGAGAAGCTCCACGTGCGTCGTTACTGCGTCTAAGTGTTTGCCGTTGAAGGATGCATCTGCGTCGATCACCAGCAGGAAGACGTGGGGCCCGGGGGGGCACAGGAACAGGCTGCGCATCATCTCCTCTTTGATCGCTTCAGGAGTGTCAAACGCAGGGAAGCCTTTCCACCAACCTGGCGTGTCAACAAGAGTTATTTCAGTTTTACCCACAAAACCCCGCCGGGCCACCGACTGCGCCGTTCTCTTTCCATCTTCCTGCTCTTTGAATCCCAGGATGGTGTTCCCCACTGAGGTTTTCCCCACACTTCGACTTCCCAAGAGAATCATCTGAAGCTTCGGGGCGGTTTTCATCTCTTCTGTTTTCAAACAAAGCACAGGTTGATCAGAAGCTCGTAGCAATTTATAGTTATTAAACTTACCAAACTACACAACTGAAGAGCCTGACGGAAGGTGAACTAACTTCATATTTAGGTAGACAATGAAAAGATGTAGTGATAAAATTCACCAACACACTGACAAGAATAACACAGATGGAGGCAAATTCTGGATTGATTATTGATTTACATTTTGGTCTTATCTTCCATGGATTCATTTCTTTATTTTTGAAATCTTGATTACATACCATTCAATTGTTGAATTGTCTTTTTTTTGTCACTCATCAGAAACGTATGTAAAACTAAAATTAACATTTTCAAACATTGGTTATTCAGTTGGTTGCCACCGATGCCACTCGCATGTCTGTATACTACAAAATGCAATTGGAGCCAGCAGGAGACTATTCAATTTAGCTGAGCATGAACACTTGAAACAAGGGAAAAAAACACTAAAAGGTTTTAGCCAGTGTCAAAGCAAAGTCACCAGCACCAAAAACTAAAGAATTTAGAATAAAAAAAACCAAAAACAAAATCAGTCCTGTTAATCAGGGTTTCATTTACACGAGCAAAACAGACACATTCGTTTACCAGGTGATCAGAAATAACAGGAAAATTTATATATTTATGTCAAATAGGATAACAGAATTATTGCCTTTACTGTGCACAGACCAATTATGCTGAGCCAGGAAAGTTTAATTTGTTTAATCCCCTGAACCTCAAAATCTACCAGTGGCTTTGAAAGGCATTTTATCTTATTAAAAATTTCCAAATTGCACAATTTATTAGAGCCAGAAACTGTGAAAATAGAAAAACTCTCTAACTTTCCAGTAGTTTTAGTGCACATGTGCAACGTTAACGGTGACGTTAACAGAGAAAAGCTCATGTTTGACTCTGTTGTGACTAATAGTCACATGAGTGAACTGCAGACTGTGTTTACACAGAGCAGAGAGGAGAAAACAAGAGTGATTAGGAGTAAAACAAAACAAACTTGTACATTAACATGAATGCAGCTTGGCTCCAAATGGTAAACAGAAGAACAAGTTGTTAGAAGATGCATTCAGCATGGTGAAATATCTTTTAAAAATGGAAGTGCAGATTAGCGTGAAAAACATGTAAAGATGTAAAAATACAAACAATAAAGTATCTAAAGCATGTGGAATCACCATTTTGTCCAGTATTGGTAACACTTGTGGTCACTTGGAAAAATTTTACATGTTGAGTCCAATTTTTGTAAAACAAATGTGGAAAGAAATTCAACTGTCACTTTTTCTTGTTCTTCTGTGACATTTAACCTTTGTTATTCTGCATAAAAGACATTTTTTAATTTCTCTACTTCTAGTCAAGTCTTAGCTGTTTCCATAGAAGGGCAGGTGCTTTTGTTGCAGCAAAAAATGAGCTCACACAAATGAGCTCATGAGCTCAAAATAGCAACACAACAGAAACAAAAAACCAACAGGAAGTGCTCGAGGTTAGGATGGTCCATCTGCACCAGAAAAACCCAACAACAATTTGTCATTTCACAGGGGATTTATGGGATGGACTATTTCCTGGAAGGCAGCAGTTGCCATTCAGGAAAGAAGGATTAGTTTCCTGCCTTAATGCTAAGCTCATCTAAGTGGCTGCTGGTTGTAGCTTTGTATTTACTGACATAGAAGAGACATTGATTGTTCTCATCCAACCTAACATTTAAACACATTTTTCAACACTGAGTTTATTTGAGTGCACCTACCGTGACATTCACCTTGAATGAGTGTTATCATTTGCTGTGTTTGTTCCTCGGCCCTCCTGCGTCTCTTTTGCGCCCTTTCGGCCACTTCTCGTTGCTTCTTTTCAATGATCTCAAAAGTCTGTTCGTCTATCTCGTAGTGACTGTCGTTGTTGTGCCACACCATCTCGTCTATCTTCTCCAGCAGCAGGGAGACCTGAGACGTGTTGGTTTTCTCCTTGTTATTGAACACGTGGTACCTGTCCCTGCACCTCCCTATCAGCCACTTCAGGGCCTCCCCCTCGCTCTCGATGTGTTGTTCTATCGTCTTCTCCCCAAGGAAATCCCCGCAGGTGAACAGCACCATGGTGTAGCGCCAAACTCGGTCCCCCAGGAGCTTCATGTGCTCCTCCAGGATCCTCCGCTGCTCCACAGAGAAAGCCGCGTCTATTGGAACAACGAGGAGGAAAGCGTTGGGTCCGGGCGGACACTTGGACGGGTTGAGTTTGAACCTTTGCTTGTCCCCCTCTGGGATCTCGGTAAGGGAGAGAGAGCTGCTCCACCCGGGGGCATCCACCACAGTGAGCTTCCTGCCCTCTACCACTCCATGTCTCACTTCACTCTGAATTGTTCTGGTGCGGCCACACTCTAGCCTTTCCTTTCTCAGGATGGTGTTTCCAGACGAACTCTTGCCAGCCCATCTCCCACCAATGAGTATGATTCTGTGCTCTGTTGGGGTGACGCTCTCTGTCTCCTCTGAAAGACAAAGAAAAACTTTATTTATACAGAAATAAAGAATGACAATTCTACCAAAATGTCAAGTTTTCAATCAGCTTGAGAAACAGCTTTTTGGCTCGATGATGATACATTTTGTTAGATCAAATTGGCGAAGAAACTTTCATAGGAGGAGGCAAGCAGAATGCAATCCATCAGTTCAAAGCCAGAGTGACATGGTTATCACACCACATGTCTCTGCCGCTTTAGATGACTGACACGGGAAGAATGCTTTGGGACGCCTGTGCCTGGCAGAGTTATTTTTGACTTTGTTACCTCCTTTCATTTAGAAGACTGAGTCTGATGAACAACAGTAAAATGAAACGAAACCAAAATAGTGAAACATTTTTAGAATGACCCTGAACCACAACAAAGCTTTTTTTGCAGCAAAGTGAACAGAAGCTACATGGTGGAGAAAAAAAGATGAACAAAATCAGCACAGAATGACTCGTCACCTCTCTGACACTTGACAAAATATGCAACTGAAACCGACAACGAAACACTTGTGTGATGTCTGCGCAGTGCAATGCAATAACCAAATACTTCATTTTAGAGAAAAGTTCTGTGTTTGGCAACAAAATATCAAAAGCTGATTCAGACGTGTGTTTAGAGGCTGCAATATATCGAACTACACTGAACTGAGGGAGTGTTTTTTTAAATAATTTTTTCCACTTTATTTAAATATACGTACGTACATACAGTGAACAGAAGTTTACATACATTTGTATAGACCATGTTTATTATGGCAGTATTGACTTTCCAGACGTACAGATGTTTACAGACTTGTTTCTTTATCACAGTCTACAGGTTCTTAATGGGGTTTAAGTCAGGACTTTTGAAAGGCCAGTCTCAACCCCTAACTTTAGCCTAGTTGAGCCATTTCTTTACCACTTATGATGTGTGTTTGGGTTCATTGTCTTGTTAGAAGACCCAACTGCCTCCAAGACCCAACCTTCTGGATGATGATTTCAAAGTGGATGTAACCCTTCTTCTTCATTATTCCATTTTCTTTGTGTACAGCACCAGTTCCACTGGCACCAAAACAGCCCCAGAGCATAATACTGCCACCGCCATGCTTGACAGTAGGTTTGGTGTTCTCTGTGTTAAAGGCCTCAGCCTTTCTCCTCCAAACATATTTCTGGACATTGTAGTCAAATAGCTAATTTTTTGTTTCCTCAGACCACAAAAATGTACTCCAAGGCTTTTTCTTTGTCCATGTGATCAGCAGCAATCTTCATTTGAGCTTCAAGATTGTGCTTCTAGAAGAAGAGAATCCTTCTTACATGGCAGCCTCTCAGCCTATGACGATGTGAAATACACTTGACTATAGACACTGACACCTGTGTTCCAGCAGCTTCTAATCCATTGGAGATCTACTTTATGGTGATTCTTGATTGACTTTTGACCCTTCTGACTACTAGTCTCTCAGCAGGAGGTGATAGTTTGTGTTTTCTTCCTGATCATGGCAGTGCCACAACTGCACCATGCACTTTATACTTACAAACATTTGATTTTGGGATCTATAGCTGCTTCCAAAAGGCTCTAAGTGACTTTCCTGACTTGTTCAAGTCAATCATTTGCTTTTTCACATCTTTGAGCTCCTCAGACTTTCCTACTGTAATGTATGCGGCTAAGGCTAATGAGTGTATCAAAAGGGACGACCTAAATGGACTCAGAGTCAGCAGCTGTAGTCAATCGTAATCACCCACAAGTTGTTTAGATGCTGTGCTTCTTAGAACATTGGACTAACACAGCTTTTTACATCACCAAAGCTGATAATTCAAGTTGCATGTATTTTGTATGTATATTTTTGACCCAGCAGATTTTGTTGTATTTCTAGAAGACCTTTAGTAAATCTACGAAAGGACCAGAATGCATGATTGTCTTTTGTGACAAATATGCATGTGTTTCAAAGACTCTATCATAGAAAATTAAGAGTCAATGAAAAGGTTTCTCTTATCTCTGTCATTTTCCTTTTTTTTTTTAATTAAAAAAAAAAAAAAAAAAAGCAGTAGACACAAAACAAAAACAAAGTGTGCAGATGAAATTAAAAACACCTCAGATACTTATAGAAGAAATCTCCTCTTGGGAGAGATTATAAGCGAAAATAAGCAAATAAGCAACTAGGATAAAGAGTGTACATAAATGAGTATAACATCAGTGCATGCATATATGTACTAAAGCACACTTGTGTTTCTTTAACCCCTTTTTGAAAGAAAGCAAAACAGCTCAACTGTAGTTAAACGTGATTAGATAGATAGCTAAATAAGCCTGTATTTAAAATTTATAAATGAAATGAAAAATACTTTATTTATCCCAGAAGGGAAATTCAATTTTATTTATTATTTTATTTTATTATTTCAAAATAAAACAGATGAATCTAATATATAGTTGAACTCTAACTGTTCTACAGCTGAGTCTCTTACTGTATGTTACTATCAAAATGTATATGACATATATCCAGGAAACCAAGGGAGTGGTTTGGAGTTCTCGTAAGGAAGACATTTACTTTTGTAAGCTGACAGGAATGTAATCTGTTTTGCTTTCCCAGCAAACAGGAATCAGATTAATTACATACACGTTAGACTGTGACAAAGAAGTTTGTGCCCAGACTTCCTGGTTACGTATCTGACCTCAACTGTCGGGAAGGAAGTACATTTTTTAAATGCTTTTTTTCACCTTTTTACCGTCTCCCAGCGTGTTCAACTGAACAAGACATATGCTAATCTGAGAAATATGAAGCATTTAGACAAACAACAAACACAATCATACAAAATATCAAGTCGTGTAATGAATTAAGTGTTAAAGCTTTAAGTTACTGTGTCAATGAATAACTCACCAAGATTGCTGTCCATTTTCTCTGGTCTTCTTTTTTTTTTTTTCAATCCTACCAACTGAACAAGCCCAAGCTCTCTGCAGAGGTCAGGGTCAGTGGCTGGAATCTGTCTTCAGGTAAAAAAAATTATTTTAGAAAAATCAGGTATTCAGGCGCATTTTTAACTGCCAGTCCGCAGAGCCTCCATTGTATGCAGTGTGACAGCACATCAAGCTGCAGTGTCTAAAAACACCCTCTGCATGACTAAGAACCGGTTAGACTGGTTTTTACTCATGCAGGGCTTGTTGGGGCCTGTGAACTCCTTGAAGAAAACAACCTGTCAATTACAAAGCATAACAAAAGTCTACAGAACTCACTTGCGAAAGCTTTGTTGTCGAATTTATGCAGGTTGTGTTATTTTTTATTGAAAATTATAAGAAAAAAAGTCACAGTTTCCATTCTGAGCGGATAACAAGTGCAGCAGAGTTAACCTTTGCTCCTTTATTTCTTTGCTGCTGATTTCTTGCTCTCCTGTCAGCGTTACACTGCAATCCTTACATAGGTGCATTTTTCATGAGACTGAACTCTGACTGGGTCTCTTTACTGATGTTTTTGCACAAGTCAGCAGACTCCTCCGGCATGTCTTGCTGTGTTGAGGGGCTGCTGTATTAATTTTAATCTCTGTCCTAACCACAGCCCCGTCGCCTCTCTGCACCGGAGCAAATCTTTGAAAATCCAAGACTAAAAATTCTCCTTAAACTTTTGTTCCTGACTTCACACAATGTCAGCATAGTTTAGATGCCACGGGGCGATCACGTGTTAGTTCGTCTAAGGATTAACACGTGATTCTTCCTATCTTGGACATTTGCTACTCATCATTTGAATCTCTCCAGATGCCCACGTTGATTTAAAAAAAATAAAATGTGCTCACTGCCATAACAGGCATTTAGAACATTATCACAAATCAGTACTCTTTTTTTTCCATCTCAGATTTCCTTCTTATCGTGATAGAAAGAAAATGACAGAATAATCTACTCTAATCAGTTTACTTTTCAGACTCAAAGGCAATAATAGGTAGAAAAAAAAAACTCACCTGAAATGCTTAAATTAAAGCAGCGAATGAATAAATGAATCAAGGACTGAATTAGACCACAGATATAGTGCATGTGCATGTATTTATTTAGAAGGAATTTACTTAATTTAAATTACAAATAACAAACAAACAAAACAAACAAACAAAAAAAAAACGCACTGTATGTTCAAGGATGCGTCATCCAGTGCATCAGGACATCGTAATTATCCCGGCAGATACATAATAGCATTGGGTCTCCACAATAAAAGGCATCGTTTAAATTAAGATCCTAAATTAGCATCCAGAGGACTGTGGAATTATAAACCTCTCTTTCACACAGTCAGCTGAAGAGGAATAGACTATTATTTGCCTGCAGAATATGTACAGAGTTTATAAATTGTCTTCTTGGGTCGGACTTTCTCACTGCCCAAAACTAGATACCCCAAGTTCAGTAGAGACTGGGCAGTGACCATGGACCGTAAGTAAGACAACAGACCATTAGCATTTGTAGACTTTAAACAGAACTATCCCTGAAGAACCTCTTTCAGGGCCAGAAAATAGTACGTATACTCCTGAATAACTGCCGTGCAGGTCATGACACTGATAGGTTAAACTTAAAGAGGACAACAATCATCTTTTTAGGTCTTTCAATACTCTAGTCCAATAGCAGTCCATCCATCCATCATCTATACACCGCTTAATCCTCACTAGGGTGGCGGGGGGGCTGGAGCCTATCCCAGCTGACTTAAGATGAAGGCAGGGGACACCTGGACAGGTCACCAGTCTATCACAGGGCTACACTTAGAGACAGACAACCAAGCACACTCACGTTCACACCTACGGACAATTTAGAATCACCAATTAACCTCAACATGTTTTTGGACTGTGCGGGAGGAAGCCAGAGAACCCGGAGAGAACCCACACTGCACAGGGAGAACATACAATCTCCACGTAGAAAGATCCCGGGTTTCCTAACCAGTACACAAACTGGAGATCTTCTAGCTGCGAGGCGACAGTGCTAACCACCAATAGCAGTCTTCTCCTCTAATTGCCATCGACGACGTAGAATTCCCCATATAAACTAACGTAGCAAATCCTCCATTGTTCTGTCATTGTTTCCTTCATGCCCACAGAACTGGAGTTAAGTCCAGTTACTTCTATTTGTTGCTGTGTTAGCGGACTAGGCGTTAACACCACAGTCAGAGCTGTCGGACCCTATGCTACAATAATAAAGGGTCAATTAGGAGGCCGATCCTATAAACGTAACTGTAACTGTGCTCTGAGGTCCTGCAGTAGGAAGCTGCTTCATCTGTACTTCTTTTGTGTCTCTCTGTAGTCGCTTTGTGTCTCAAAAACATCTACACAACAGTTCGGTCAAGTATAAAAAGTCATAAAAATCAGACAACACACACAAAAATAACACAAGTAGTTCAAAGGAACAAGCAAAAAGAGACACATGATCAAAACCAAAAGAAACAATGAAGAGAAAAAGATATTTTGGCAGAGTCTTGATTCCTGAAGACATATGACAAAGCCCTTTATGTTATGATTCCAAAGTGATAAACCTCTAATGAAATGCTGATATTCAGAAGTGTAATAGTTTATAATATGATCAATAACTTTTATAAGTATAATTACAGTTTCATGAACTTCTAAATTTAGTATCCTGTTGGTCTTAGTTGGATAAATTCATAGCACTACAAACTATTTAGAATTATGCATATATCGATAATTAAAGTTAAATATAAAATATAGTAGATAAGTGAAAAAGCTTTGTAAGAACTGCTTTGATTACATTTAAATTAATGTGGATTTTTCATGTAAGACAAAATTGTTTTTTGTTTTGTTTTGTTTTGTTTTTTTAAAGATGATGAAAAAAAGTGAGGTTAGGTTTTGTAAAAGGATTTACCAACAATGAAATAAAACTATCCCAACAGCTGTGGACTCAATCTAAAGAGAGCCAGTATGTACTAATGAAAAAACACAGAGTCACTTCCTTATACATCCTGATAAATCCTTTCTTTGTGTCGAGGATAGTTTATAATTATAAGCAATTAATGAAGTCACTGGTGATGTTGCATGTAAATATGTGCATCTCTTTCTCTTTGGAGACGCTCATATGGATGCTACAGTCATCTGATGCTGTAGGTCTGTAGTAAACTCAGAGGAAAGACTTCTACGAACAGCTGGAAGCAACAAACCAAACATCAGCTCCTGTTAACATTTAAACTAAATGTGGATTCCATTAATTACTGGTAAATCTCATTAATCTGACTCCTGAGAGATTATTTTTTATGATCATCTCAGTTTGTATAAATGTAAAACTACACAGCAAAGGCAACAAAAAAGGTTTTTTATAAGTCCAGGGCCAAAAACTTTTAATCACTGTGATGCTTTCGGACAAATACTGATAGTGAAATGTGTAAAAAGTCTTCCCTAAATCACTTCCCACAACACAATGCACCATTGTGTCTGTCCGTAAATGCAACTGTGTGCAGTTTTGCATAGTTTTACAAGTATTTTTTTGCAAGTGACGAGGATTCTCTGTCAGTCTGAAGCCGACAAGTTCAGATGCCACCAGATTACAGAAAGGAGTGAATGACTTAAAGGTACTAGAAAATTGTTCTGAGGTCATGTCAGAAGCTGCGCTGAATGAACTGTCTCAGAATTTGTGCTTTGCTGAGTATTTTTAATAAGCTTCAAGTGTGAGTGAACCTTTAAGAGCCAGGATTTATCTGCTTATCCAACAGATTGGACATCTCCATCCAGGACAGATCCCATTGCACTTCAGTCACATCCTGCTTGGTTTCTGGAAGCGGCACCGCTGCTACGTTCTCTTTAGAAAGCGGCCAGCAGCTTTGAGTGCTAAACATCTGGTACCTTTAAACAAATACAACAATTAACAAGGCACTTGTGATTCATGCAGCACAGAATCTGTCCGTCGACATGCATACAGTGAACAATGACCAGTAAAGAAGCTTACTTGTGACGACAAACGAACCAAACAGTTAGAGGGACGAGAATCAGAAGTAGAACCAGACATGACACCAAAATCCATATCCAGGAGCCTGATGAAAGCAGAAAAAAAGAATATTTGTTTGAATATTGAAAAACGATCAGACGGTAACAAAGCGAAAAAAATACATCACTACCACTAATTTCTCACTAAAAGCTACGCCCACACCAAGAACCCTGTCAATATGGTGCTTAGTAATCGAATTAATAGGATGTTTTATTATCACAGGTACTATAAAGTATTCAGAATTGCCCTTTTAACTTTCATTACAGCTAAATAGACATTTTAAACCTCAACAATACACTTTAGTAGACAGTCGAAATTATACAAACACATCACTTGCATGTTATCGGTTTTCACTGATTGCACAATGCACAATTCAAATTAAAACATTTCACGAGCCATTAACTGATGCTGAAAACTAAAAACACTCTTGCGCTGAATATGAATGATGTTTACAGAATTGGTGGCAAGAAATACAACAAGTGATTAATCTAAAAATCTTCAGGCAAATCACATAAGACACATATAAGAAAGTTTAGCCAAGAATTGCCAGAATTTTGGGGCAACTTTTCTTCGTTTCACTTGCAAGTTCAGTCACAATCCTTAAAAAGAACACAATGCATTAATGAATAACTTGACAGCTTATTAGAAAAAGATCAATCTGGTGTTCTTTGAATGTAAAATGATTTTTTTTTTTAATGCTTAATCATAAATTAAACCAAAGTGTTTACCTTTGTTTTAAACAGTAAACATTATTATCATCAAGTATTCTGCCCAAAATCAATAAATGAATGTATTAATGAGAAATGACTTTACCACTGCTGGAGGCTGCTGCTCCATCTGTTGATGTGAAATTACCTGAAAGACATTTGACTGTTATTACACAAAATGGTATGATGAATGTTATGAACAAATGCGATAAAGTCGACCAGCTGACCTCGGTCAGGTCTCACTGATAACCAGCTCTCTGGACTCTCCGTCTTTCCATCCCCGGACGCACACTTGTAGGAGCCTTCATCTTCCTGCGTCACATTCTCAATAGTCATTTTTATTACTCTGTCCGGACCAAAAGAGCTAGAGGAGCCGATTTCTGCT